TTCTCAAATTCGTACTATAGCCGAAAGTAAAAAGTAACATAATCCCTTAAACCCCAGGAGGGTGTCAAAGGTTGCTCAACTAAGAAGAATTGCATTTAAACTATTATTATTATTATTATCGGCATTTATATAGCGCCACCTTATTCTGCAGCGCTTTACAATATTATAAAAGGAGGAAATTGAGCAATACATGAAACAATTACAAAATGTTACAGGAACAATAGGTAGATAAGGACCCTGATGAAACAAACTTACCGTCTGTGCTATTTTAATACATACTGACTATAACAGTTGATGTGTAGGGGAGCACTCTGCAGCTGGCTGTAGTGATTATGGTGCCTATCGTTCTCTGTTACTCTCCTTTGGCCACTTAAAATACCACTAAATGCATTCAGACCAAGAAGTGGTCTTGGTGCAGTGGGCCCTTTAGTTTTAACTCATTTTGTAGGAACAGCATAGTTTATATTGCAGAGTTAAACACACTTTGAGTGTCTTTTTTCGAAGAAAAGCATTAAGTTCCTTTCCTATGAGAAGAATTTGATTGGAAGCATTCAAAGCTCTCGCCGCGCATGCACATCACTTCCCCAATCAATGCCTGCCAGAGAAAATCTCGGCACTGAAAAAAAAGTTAAAAGAACACTATGGTGTTAGGAATACAAAACTGCGCTATAGTGTCTGTGATAGATGCTCCTGTGCCATGGCCTTTTGGAGAGGCTTGAAGGCCAGCCTCTTGCCCACAGACTGAGCATCGTCACAAGTCCCTGAAAGGTAGGAATCAATTAACAAACTATGCATTGTTAGTTTGATAACTCTGCAGCGCACTCTGCTGACTGAATAGAAATGCATACATTTACATAATGCTGGTATACAAATGTATTTTTTGAAAATAAGAATAGTATATTAACAGTTTTAAAGCAGTTTTCTTAAAGGACCCCTATAGTCACCTAGACTACTTCAGCTCAATAAAGTGGTCTAGGTGCCTGGCCCCCCAGGTTTTAACTCTGCAGCTGTAAACATAGGGCTTTCAGAGAAACTGTTTACATTGCAGGGTTAATCCAGCCTCTAGTGGCTGTCTTCCTGAAAATCGCATTGAGCATGCAGAACGTCCATAGGAAAGCATTGAGTAAGGGCGGTTTGAATGTGCGTGCGGCTCTGGCTCCACATGCGCATTTGGCTCCACTCGGGAGCTAACGTCGCAGGGGGAGGAGAGGTCACCAGCATAGAGGGAGCCCGGCGCTGGATTATGGTAAGTGGCTGAAGGGGTTTTAACCCCTTCAGCCCAGCGGGAGGAGGGCCCTGAGGGTGGGGGGGACCTAAGGACTATATAGTGGCAGGAAAAAAAGTTTGTTTTCCTGGCACTATAGTGGTCCTTTAACCCCTTAATGCCGTTACGGTGTTCTATGTCTTCCCCATTTAAATGGGCTTTAAACCCTTAAGGACACATGACATGTGTGACATGTCATGATTCCCTTTTATTCCAGAAGTTTGGTCCTTAAGGGGTTAAAGCTGTTGCGGCCGCATAGAACGCTTGCCACCCTGGAGCCTTGGGAATACTTACCTTCCTGGCGATCCGCCTCGGGAGGACTGCCTGACAGCCCAGGCAGCCCTCCCACGGCAAACCAGGCCCCCAGGGGCCATGTGATTGCTCTCAAAGAGCGATCACCTGGCCCCCTATAGCTGGCTGTGGATCTGCCAGCAGGGAGACTGTCTGGGCTTTCAGACAGTCCCCCTGCTGGTGGGAGGTGTAAAAAAAAATATTAAACATGCTTAAAATAAATTAAATATACATATATATATTTTATATATAATAAAATAAAAAATTTTTGTAAAAATGAAAATACATTTTAAATACATATGTAATTTCATTCTAACTGTATTTTGTTATTAATATATATATATTTATATATATATATATAACAAAATACACTTAGAATGACATGCTATATATATATATATATATATATATATTTAAAATACAAATATCCGCAAGTGTGTGTGTGTGTGTGTGTGTGTGTATATATATATATACATATAATTACATTAATGATTACATAAGTATACACGTAGAATTTAAATACATATATATATATATATATATATATATATATATATATAGTAAAATTCAACATGTATATTTAAGTAATCTTTTAGCATAATTATGTAATTTTATTAATTAAAATTTAAATGACCTGCCTGACAACCCAGGCAGAAAGTGCAGGGAATTTAATTCACAAGTACTTTATTTAACCCTGTAACTTTCCAAGACACCATAAAACCTGTACATGGGGGGTACTGTTTTACTCAGAAGACCTCGCTGAATACAAATATTAGTGTTTCAAAACAGTAAAATGTATTACAACGATGATATGGTCAGTGAAAGTGATATTTTTTGCATTTTTCACACAAAAATGGCACTTACACTGACGATATAATTGTAGTTATGTGTTTTACTGTTTTGAAACACTAATATTTGTATTCAGTGATGTCTTCCGAGTATAACAGTACCCCTCATGTACAGGTTTTATGGTGTTTTCAAAAGTTACAGAGTCAAACACACAAACAAATATTAACGCTAACTTTGGCTAGTGTTTGTGACCAAGTGGCAACTAAAAAAGACTGGACATACCCCATTTGCAATACCTTGGGTTGTCTACTATTGCAAATGGTATGCCATCATGGGGGGTAATTTTCATTCCTGGGCTACCATACGGTCTCAATTGCAACGTAACCAATTTGGCGAATTTCAATGTGAAAAAACTGAAACACAACCCTTATATTTGACTCTGTAACTTTTGAAAACACCATAAAATCTGTACATGAGGGGTACTGTTATATTCGGAAGACGTCACTGAATACAAATATTAGTGTTTCAAAACAGTAAAACATATAACAACAATTATATCGTCAGTGTAAGTGCCATTTCTGTGTGAAAAATGCAAAAAATTTCACTTTCACTGACCATTCCAGGTTTTGTTTACGTTTTGTTTTGATCACAACGTGTACATTTGGCTCAGTCCTTAAGGGGTTAACACTTTATGCACCATTACCAAGCTAGACATACTGTTTTGGAGTGGCCAATAGTAAACAAATTTGTACAACCTACAAAATAAAATAATACCTTCTTAATGTCTGCATATTAGAACAGTTTGTATTTTCACAAACACTTTTTATTTATTTATTTTTTTATACACTATAGTTAAAAGTTATCTATCACTTCAAGTGACAGTTCCTTGTTCTTTGACCCCAGTAAATATTTTTTTTTTTTTACTGGGTGAATATTGCCGTGAATATTGAAGCGGAGATAAGCAAAAAAAAAAACTACCGTGGCTATTCCGTGTTATGGAATCTTTCCTGATCTAGGAATCAGGTATGTACATGCCCACTTTAACATTTAAAGGGTTACTCCAAACATTATTACCAATGGAGTGCCCTCTAATCTGTGTCCCACTGCCCACGGAGTATCCTCTCCTGCTGGCTGTGATAATATCTGGCCCTGCATTCACTGGCTGAGAGCTTCAGCTGACGACTTTCAGCAAAGAAAGGCTATTCTAAGCATAGAAATATGCACAAAATTGACTCTTTTGTAGCAAAGGGGTTAAACTCTGTATGTGAAGCACTGCGAAAATAGACTCTAACTACCATGGCCACTTCAAGTCACTGAAGTGGTGATGGTGTTTGGAGTAACCATCTAACAAATAAATGCTGTGTGTATGCTCTGTGTGTATGACACTGCAAAGGTGAACTACTATACCTACTTTGCCAGACTTTGCCTAGCTAAGCATATAGAGTGCTTAAATTTAGGAATCTCCTAGGGAAGGCAGGCTACTGTTTATTAATTAAATTCAGATATTTACATATTTATATTCCTTTGATTTTCCATCCATTTTACGTAGATTGTCAGCTCTAGTTTTCGGAGATTAGTTAATATGTACTGAAATAGAACGTTTTGTTTCTTAACGTAAAACATTACAGAACAGTGTGTTTTAAATATAATTCACATCAGCATCAATATAAGTGAATGCAATGACATGCACATATACATAAATCAATAGATCAATTCATAAACAAAACAAATGAATACAAATCTGCCAATAGGAATAGTAGTTTATTGACCATCATAACACCTACAAACACAGCGGCGCAGCATACATTCAGTAGAAAATTCAATCTTTTAAAATCCAACAGATACCAGAAAGTTGGAGTGCGCTAGCAACTGCACTGGAGTCAGGGTCTTCCCTGAGTACTCTGAAAAAATATACAGTATATAGTGCAGACTGTCTGTACATACAGGGTATGCAAAATGAAAGTGTATCTGGGGATCAACTCACATGGACCAGAGCCCTATCACCCCTGGCTCTGGGTTTGAATTGCTCCAATGGAGAGGGATAAACCCACAATATAGTAAGACAGGATACTCTTCTGAATCAGATGTAATATCTAGGCAGTACAAATAGAGAGGCAGGAGCCCAAATTGAATTGTATCAAACACAGTATTTATTTAAACAAAAGGTTAAAACCTCTTACTTGAAGTAGTGGGTTTGCCAGTAAAATCCAACCCCTAAGCTTACACTCTAACTAGCAAGACAGTGGACGCTTTCCCCCTCATAGAACAATCTCAGTGCAGTATTTGCTTAGAACAGCAATCTGAAACCGTCCAACATTGTCCAACACATTCTTTTCAAATTCTTTTATTTAAAGTTTTGCACTTTTAAACGTAACATAAGCATGAGATTAGTATAACAAACATAAAGGCGATAACCGGATAAAAAGAAAACAGGGAATAAGGTGAAAATATAACACATGAATTATTATTCAATTTTTTTAGCAGATCTGGTAGACAAACAATTAAAACAACAAACAAGTATTTTAGTATCGTGTTTCCTTTAAACTAATAGCTCCTGTTATTAGTGTGCCCTTTCCGCTATGTCTAAACTTGTTTGATTACCATATAATTGCATGCTTTGTTTATAAAGCAATTAAGAAAACGTATAAAACAAAACTTACCTTAGCTTTGACTTTTCAATTCGCTCCGAATAGTGTTCGCTGGGAGCTCACAGTTAATATAATGTTTGTCCTTTGACACAATGTATATCTGAGAGGTTTTACCGAGCCATTGAAGATGAGATCAGTACCCAAGTACAGCAGAAGATCTAGTGAATCTTCGACACAGAGACATAGCTGTGATGGGTTTGAATTGCAAGGTAGAACAGAGAATATGGGGAGTGAACATGCAAATAGCACCAGAGGTTAACACCCACTATCCAAAGACGATTACTTAGTGATTTAGATACAACCTGCCTTAGGAACTTAGGTGACATCAGGATGTAGTGTGGGATATTATGTATTCCCATAAAAAGTCAAACACATCACGCTAGCATGATTTATTCCATCCTGAGGAATTTGTTATTATTCGGTCTTAAGGTTTTCATCATAAGTAATTGAGCGTACTGTCTGTGTCTGTGGAAGTTAATGTATTTTGCATGGTAAAAATAGTAAAAATATTTGGGGATTTGCTTAGAAAGGGGTTAGGAAATGCTGCACCGCTACCCCCACTATATGGGTAGCGGCTAGTTTTTCTGGTTAAAGAATTCAACTGTTTATCTTTGAATGCATTTGTTAAATTCGGCAATGTAAATATTATTGTATCAGAATCCCAAATTATGAATGGGTTCTGTATTTTCAGCCAGAATATAATGACTCTCAAGAGGTTCAGTGAGTGGTAACCTAAGCACTGCGGAATAAGATGGCGCCGCTGTGTAACCCTGCCACAACTACTACTAATAATAATAATAATTATATGTTGTGATGTTATGTTTGGTTTGTTTGTTTGTTTGTTTTTTTACTAATACTGTAACCCCAGTGGTGGAATTAATTTAGATTAATTTTTGGTGCAAACTTTTTTCTGCCCCCCCTCTAGCGCAAGGTCCCCATCTGGTGTACAACTCCCACAATGCATTGCCAGATGGGGATCTACCATGTGGTCATCCTTGCAGAGTTGTATTTGTGAGCAGTGTTTGAATGTAAACATGTTTTGTATACAGGGTGTGTGTGCGTATGTATGTATGTATGTATGTATTTGTGTGTAGTTATGGCATTTGAATGCAGTTGTGCATTTGTATATACTGTTATTATTTGAAAGCAGTGGTGTACTGCAGTGGTGTGTAGTGTTGGAATTTGTTTGCATGTAGAGTTGACTTTTGATTGCTGGGATTTACCCACATATTCATATACACTGCCCCACACATTCACACAGATACACACACATACACACTGCCACACACACAGAGATGCACAGACATATACAGACTGACACATACACACGCACACAAATGCACAGATACGCACACACACACACATATAGATACACACACACACACACACATCTGCCCATTTATACACACAGATAAACACATACACTTACACACACACAGATGCACACATGTACGTACACGGACACACATGCAGATGCACACATATACACACACTGACATGTATGCACAGATAAACACAGACACAAACATACACTGGTAGATACATATACACATTGACACACAAACACACAGATATACACATACCCTTTAACAAGGATAGAGTGAGAAGTGATGATACAGAAGGAAGGTCACTAGAAGCATAATCAGAAAGCGAATAGTAAATCAGTACCGTGTGAAAATGGTTAAACAGATGATGATCAGTACAGACTGATGAATTTTATAAATGGTTAAAGCAGCCCTCTGTAGTGGTTATGGTCCCAGAGGTGCTCTGGCATCCTCCTACTGTAATTTGCTAAACCTTTTTGGTTATCAGTAGATTATGAAGTCACGTAAAATTTTCTGGACCAGCCCTAATATGTCCAAACACTAACAGCGAGTCAGCATAGAGGTCTGGATCAATGGGCTGTCTGGCTCAGCCCACTCCACAGGATTAATTGTAGAAAGTTATCAAATAAGGTTGTGTTGGAGGAGATCCCACGGGTTCGTGATGATGTCACACAGTAATACTGCCCATTTGGAATACTGCACATTTCTTCTGAAACAAGATTCATGATGTTAAAACAACAATCTTCTTAGCTCTGTCACTAGCACAGTACATAATGTCACCAAATGCGGCTGACATTTGTTCCTTTAAAAGTAAAAAATGCTTAGTAAAACATGGTTTAGTAACAAGATTAGAACATAGATAAAGGGATTAACCATGTACAGTACTAAAAGTCCCCGGCTTAGACACCTAACAATACATATCTGCCTTCCTCACTTGTTTGAACCAGGTAAATGTTGGTACATATGTCAATAATAATAATACTAAATACCTCCACTCACCTGAGCCGCATCCAATCTGAGTGCTAAGCCATCCCCTTTTCTCCTGGCATGTAAGTAATGGCAGAGGGGCTTAATTAAGCTGAATCAAATATCAAATAGCAGCTGTCAGGGAGCGTAACCCCTGCCAATCTCAAAAACCAATATGGGGGCTTTTTATATTCATGCCATAAACCCAAACCGTAACCCTATTCCCAATTTTTACATACAACTTCTTATTAGATACTGTTAATGAGATACCTATTCTATGGACTATGGTCATACAAGACGTAAATCAGAATTTAATCATAATTATTATTAACTCACACATTTAATAACTAATTCTTGTGCCAAGATTAAATATAAAATATTTCAGTAAAGTAATTTAGTCAGTGGGCATGGACAAAAATAAATTTAAACTTTCCGTTAGCTCAATGCAATCTTTGCTCACATATTTACCTTCTATTACAAAAGCGTAAACAGACACTTACCTGTCGCCTACCTATGTTCACTTTTATAAGGGTTACAAACACCAATACATGCTTAGGGCAATATGATATGATGAATGGATTAGTCACATATACAGGGTGTTTATTTGTTTGTTTTTTTATTATCAATTAATTTTTTTATAATAGATTAAATTAAATTTGCTTCGTAATCCCACCCTTCCAGCCCCCCTTTTCCTTCTGCTGTGCATTTTTTTTTTTTTTTTTAGCTCCAACACCACGGCTGTATAATGTTAGGCTTTGCAGTCTACCTCCTTTCTACAGCAGACGAATTAACTTCAACTCCCAACTCTTATGGGAAAAGCTCAGCTGTGCTATAGAATGTATCAGTCACTTCCTGTTAAGTCAGAGCTCATTGCAAATCCTTCACAGCTATGGTATTTGCAGCAATTGCAGAAATTGCAAATCTTAATATATTTGAATTTGCATATTTTCAGGGATATTCATAAGACTCGGAATTTTATAAACCTGAATGGAAAAACTGGGGAAGAAATAGCTGAGATGTGACTATGGTTAAGTTGGAGAATTCTTCTAGATCTGTTATAGGAGTTTAGTGACTATACCTGTTTATTTTATTGCACACGCTATCCATTACCAGGATTGGCGTGTTCCTTTCTGCGTCAGTAGACAGCTCGACATCATGACATTCTGCTCTATAATTATGTACTACAATTTAGAATGCGTTGTTCCCTAATTGACTGAAAACTGTCTGGAAGCTGAGGCAGCAAAATATTCAAACTCTAACTCTAAATTGTAATAATGTAATGAATATAGTTGACTATAGTTGTCCATTTCAAATGTATCATAGCACACATGGACAATCCAAGTGCATACCTCCTAAGTGCCCTTCTGTAAGACAAACTGGACTAGCCCTAAAGTGTCCAAACACCAAGGGAATTGGTCAACAGCCAGTCAGCATAGAGGTATGGATCAATGGGTGGTCTGGCTCAGCCTGTTCCCCAGGATTACTTGTAGAAAGTAATCAGATGAGGTTGTGTTGGAGGAAATCCTGGGGGTTCGTGATGATGTCACACAGTAATACTGCCCATTTGGAATACGGCACATTTGTTCTGAAACAAGATTCATGATGTTAAAATAACAATCTTCTTAGCTTTGTCACTAGCACAGTACATAATGTGACCAAAAGTAAGAAATGCTTAGTAAAAATTGCTTTAGTAACAAGATTAGAACATAGATAAAGGGATTAACCACATACAGTACTAAAAGTCCTTGGGCTAAACACCTAACAATAAATATCTGCCTTACTCACTTGTTTGAACCGGGTAAATCTTGGTACATATGTCAATAATAATACTAAATCCTGGCGGATCTCCTTTTTCAACCAGCTGCATTCCGGCCTCACCACGGCCACCGCTCGGCCTCCCTCTCAAGATCTTTGTTCGGATGATTTTGCACCAATCCAATGCATCTCTATAAAGAAGAATTGAAAACACTACTGTGTCTGTTGCTGCTCTGCACCAATAGGATTTCCTCACGGGGGTGAGATTTTCCCGTGCTTGGGTTCATCATATTGCCGAACGTGCACACCTTAAAAAAAATGAAGGTGTTGAAGGAAGGGCCTTGTGCGACTAGGGATCGACCGATTATCGGTTTTACCGATATAATCGGCCGATATTCGGTATTTTCGGCAATATCGGTATCGGCCAATTCAGATACCGATATTGCCGATAATACCTCCTAGGACCGCCAGGCTCATTACAAGCCCAGCGGTCCTGGGGGGGCAGAGCGCAAGCGCTTACTCACCTCCCAGCAGCTCCTCCAGCTCCCCAGTGTAACTCTCGCGAGACCCGCGGCCGTCAGAGCGTTGCCATGGATCACCATGGCAACGCTCCGCGCGACACGCTGGCCGCGAGAGTTGCACTGGGGAGCTGGAGGAGCTGCTGGGAGGTGAGTAAGCACTTGGTCTCCGCCCCCCCCAGCTCAGCCAATGCCACTGGACCACCAGGGACTGTCATATCCCCCCTCCCTGGCCAGGTAACAAGCAGGGAGGGGGGACAAAAAATAATAATTAAATATATATATAAAAAAATAATTTAATAAAAAATTCCCCCTCACACACTCCATTATATACACAGACACTACACAAACACACTGTGTATATAATGCAGTGTGTGTTTGTATAGTGTGTGTTTGTATACAATGCACACAAATACACTGCATTATATACACACTATACAAACACACACTACATTCACTATACACACACTACACAAATACACACACACTCTGCATTCATTATATACACACACACTTTGCATTTAGTATATACAGCATTCACTTTACGCACACTACCCACACACTACACAAACACTCTGCTTTCATTATATACACACTACACTAATACACACTGCATCCACTACACACACTAAACAAATACAAACTGCATCCACTACACA